CTCTAGTATATAATGCAGCAAGAACAAGCAACCAAAAATATTTACTATTATATATATATATATATAAATACAAAGGAAACTCTATATATACATACAAATACAATACTAATAAAGGTAATATAATTTTATTATAAAGAAATATAAATTAAATATTTATATGCAAGACGAAGCAGAGGAAGAGCTAGACGAAGAGCAGGAAGAAGACGATTTCATCAAACACACACATATATAAGGAAGGAAGGAAGAAGAATGGAGGAGAAAACGAAAGGGAAGCAGCAATAACAGCGGCAGCTCCCAAGGAAGACAACTATTAAGAACAACCAAAGACGCTGGCGAAGAAGCGGCAGCAAAGAAGAGAATACGAAGCAGCTATATATACTTATATATATATATATTTATAAATAAATTATACATATGAACAAAACTAGAAAAATGCAAGGACAATTGTCTTAAATGTAACAAAATGCAAACGATAGAAGCACGATCACCAAATCAAACTTAGACAAAGGACACAGAGCCAACAACTAAGCTTAGCATATATATTCTAATATATACTATAAAAATAAAGGTTTAAGATTAAGGGCAATCCAACCAATCAGCAACAACAAATTAACTACAACAAGAACCCATTGGGAACCCACAGCAAACCGCAAGCTTTTACCTTCCCGCTCTGTCTCCACCCAACCTTACCAACAACTATCAATCTATCTTTTTATCTATCTGCCTATCTTTCTCTCTTTGTGTACTGCTGCCTAATTAACGAACAAGAAGAAAGTCTGCGTCGACCAAAGCAAACTGTACTTTGTACACAACTGTACTTGGTTTTAATTTAATTTTATATCGAAAACCTTGTTTCCTTTTCTGAACTAAACCAAACAAAACTTGTCGTGATGTTTGTTCACCGATCAATCCACACTCACCCTCATACCTCAGCCCAGCTCGTCACACACCCATCCAGATATACCCACCATCCTACTTTGATCAAGCATCTCTTTCTAATGCTAACTCTAACTCTTCTCCACTGCAAAAATCAACTGTGAGTATAACTTCAACGTTATAAAAGGAACACAAATATCTTGAGTGTTTTCTATAATATAATATTTAAGTGAAATTTGATCTATTTTGTTTGCTTGACTTTGGACAGGTCACTGAAGGGCAAGACAAAAAAACTAAAACAAAAACACCATTTGCGCTAAAGATAGAAAGAAAAAAAAAACACAAAAAACTTTTCTATAACTTTTTTTAACAAACAAAAATGAAAAGATTTTGTAGCGAAAATTTGTGCGTTTTAAAACAATGAAATTATAACACAAAATCTAAAAAATTGAAGGCAAAGGACAAACGAATTTTTTCAAAACTCTAAAAATTTGCTAAACTGAGGATGAAAATTTAATTTTTTTAACAAAAGCAACCACGGGAGAAGCCAGTACAGTTAGAGCAGCAAGCTGAGTCTTTGCACTCGAGGAGTGTGTCCATTCCCTCGAAAGTATGTAACAGATTTACCTTGTAGCAATGGTGCTGGGTTTTCCGATTTCATCCAAACCTTCTAAACGTACGTGCATTAATTTTAATTTTCGTTTGCAAAGCAAAAGGCATCAAATTGAATTAAAAGAAATACTATTAAAAAACCAAACCGAACATTGTTAAAATATGCAGAAGCAAAAAAAAAAGATGTTTTTAGCAACTTACAATATTTTGAAGGGCATAGAAAGAAAACCAACATCGTGCGCCTATATCTATATGCATAAATATATGTATAATGCTATATATACATAAACATATATGAATAACTATATTTATGAATATTGTAAAAATTGCAACAGAACATGAAGATGAATGGAATGCATCAGCAAACAAACAAACAAACAAACAAACAAGAAAAAACAGAATTTTCTTTGAAAAAAATACACAAACATTTTAAAAACCTCGAAACAAAAAACCAACAAATTGTCGTTTTCTTTTTTTGCATAAAAATTCTCTTTTTTTCTATTATATTCTGTTGGGAACTTTTCTGGTTTCTAGATTGGCTTACAAAAAATTCTACAAACACAACAACTTTATCATCCCCTCTCATTAATACGAATTGGCGAAAAGGATACTATTTCCCCTTGAGTGTTTGACTTTGCTGTGGCTGATGATGATCACTGAGCTCCAAAGTCAAGTTAATTAAGTTAAGCGTAGCCATAGTCCATACATACTCGAATAAATGGATGGATAGTCAAGAATCTGCGGCCAGCCCCCAATCCGGAACTGGAGAGACCCCAGGCACGTCATATGCACACTCCACTTTAATGCGATAAGAATTTAACAAGTAATACATGTAATGTATGCCCAATAAACCACCTAACAAGAGATTTCATCATGAAGAAATTCGTCTATATAAATATGTTATATACATACATACATATATCGAAATATGAATGTTATTCTTGATGTCCAATATACCATAACCGTACGTACCTATACCCCAGGCATGTAGTTGGCCCGTTTCACACTTTTCCTCAAATTGGAACTGCACTAAATGTCTACGAGATTAATCGAATGCCGTATAACCTAATATTGATAACGACGTTGAACGATTCCTTCAGCTCTTTGAACCAATAATTGTCAGGCGTGTTATAGATTTGATATCCAAATATGTGTGGAAAGCAATTGTAGGCCTTGAACGAATCAAATTTTAAACGATAGTAAATGGATATTATAGGGTATGCAAACAGGAGATTTGCATGAGATACTAAAGCATTTTGATTAAATATAAAGTACTTATACAATTTAGTGATAGGTAATGCTGGCAAGAATAGTTTTATGACTTGATTTCAATACTGTTTTGTATTTTGTAGCTTTCTTAAACACATACAAATGAATTTATGTTTTAGTTTTAATACAATAAGTTATCTGATTTTTCTTTTTTGTCAGCACGCACACACCCACACATAATTACAGACTTAAAAAAAAAAACAGATACTCAAAATAGTTCCCTGAAAGTTTGGCAAAATAAATTTGATGCGATCCGATGACAGCAACAATTGATCACATTTTTTTCCTACTCACAAAATAAAGAAACAAATGGGAAGAGCAGGCATCAGATTCAAACTGATAGGGCAAATTGATAAGTTTTAGGACTAAGTGAGCATAATTGTTAAAACTTAATATACCGAGTATCAATATTGAAATACATAAAGCTTTACCTACCCCAATGTGCAGCGCAACAGTACAGCTGCAGTCATAACTATATAGTCACACCAAAACAGCTAAACCTAAACTATAATTTCACCCATAGGAAAAACTCAACTGAAATACATTTATGAACTGTAAATTCTAAGCCCTAAATTGTAATTAAACTGATCGAAAATTATTATATCCAACTGGAACTGAAGCTAACTCCTCAAGAGACATGATTGCATAGAAAATTGCAGTTAGAACCATCGAAAAGTATTAGGGTGGTCACGTCATCCATAATCAGATCAGAGTGAGCTACAACCAGAAAATAAAATGCCACAACTAATTCCACGCTCGGTCCGTGTGATCTGAGAGCAAGCAGATACCGAAACGAATCGAAAAGAACAATTTTAATAATAATTATATTCTACTTAACAGGCAAGAACTAAAACCAATAAAGACAAAACAGAATATACAAATTAAATGAGAAATGCAAAGTTTTTATTTACCAATCTACTTTGACGGTGTGGGAATGGGAAGGAAATCTTTTTTAGATCATTGTGCATCTTTTCAGAAACTGGAAAATGAGTCGGTTGAAGCAGTGGACGTACGAGTGGTACGAGTGCATTACATTACAGTTCATTGCGTATGCGTGATAATAATCCGACATCTTTCAACTGAGAAATGCAAAAATACATTAATAAAAATATATTACATTACATCTAACAATACATTTTATGTAGTGTTACATTTTGTTGTTTTTGAAGTTACCGCCATAAAGAAGCATCTTATTTATTTATAACTTCGAACATCACTGGCAAAAAGCTTTTCTGTACAGTTAACAGAACCGAAACGCGAAACATCACTGGCAAGAAGCTATTCTGTAAAGTTAACATAACCGAAAAGCTTTTCTGTACAGTTAACAGAACCGAAACGCGAAACATCACTGGCAAGAAGCTATTCTGTAAAGTTAACATAACCGAAAAGCTTTTCTGTACAGTTAACAGAACCGAAACGCGAAACATCACTGGCAAGAAGCTATTCTGTAAAGTTAACATAACCGAAAAGCTTTTCTGAACTTTTTACTTACATATGAACATGCATATGTAGTTGCCTGAGTTTTACATTCATACTACATGTCGAGTAAAAGCACGAAAATAAAATTAGGAAATATTATGTTTAATATTTTAAAATTAATTTTAAAAGGAATACATTTTAAAAAAATATAAAGGGTACAATCAGCTTATATATAATGTGGAGGATGATAACCGTGAGAGAGAGTCGGATATTTGTAAAGATGTGGTATGATGGGGATGGATGGGATGGCGGGTAGTACGAGTCTTTTGTTTGTTTTGCTTTGCTTCGGCCTTTCTCGTTGTTATTGGTGTCATCGTCGTCGTTGTCGCACAGTGGGTTTGCACAGTCAAATTAAAAGAACTATCCAAAAGGTAGATGGCTTCGACAATAGGCGTTTCTTTTAACTTCAAACTCATATAATAAAAAGGACCAAAGCTATATTTTCGATTACTTTGTTTTCTTTTTTTCGAGAGAGATGCAGTATGTGAATAAAAGTTGAATACGACACAATTGTATACTTTACGCGCCCGTACATATGCATCTCCTAATATCTCCTCTCCTCCTGTATCTCCTCTGGAATATTCTCTTTTAAAATCATTTTATACACCTCTTTTCGTCGGAGTGGGGACCACTGTGTGTCGTCGGCACTTGGCATCGTGTTATTTTTATGCCCGCACGAGAAGCTGTCGTCTTGCTCTGCCTCTTTGTGCTCTTGTTCCCACTGTACGCCCGTGTCTGCGGCTGTGGCTGCACTTCCACTTTCCGCCTTCGTCTCAGTCGTCGACAGGACATCGAGCAGTGCAAGTCGACTGGTCGCACGTGGATGTGGCAAATGTTGTTGGTGTAGCCCCGTGTTGCCGTTGCCTTTGCCGTTGCATTGACAGTGAGTGAAGTAGAGAGCCGTTTTGAATGTTGTAAAGTTTCGATTTGTTGTCGTTGCCGTTGCCGTTGCCGTTGCCGCTGTCGTTGCTTCTGGCTGTATCCCCGTGTCCTTGTCCTTGCGCCGCGTGTGTTATCCTTAGCCTTGCTCACGGTCAGGTACCACAACCCCACAGCGCATCGCCTGCCTTCACCAGCTCATTCGGCAGCCATTCACGAGTGCACTCAGGTCGCATTCCTTTCCCAGCCTCCGCCATTTGAATGCAAAAGTTCAGGCCATTCCGAGAGCTAAAAGATACCCTCCCCCCCCCCCGAAGATATTTGGAATCCGTGCATTAGCATTAACGTAAACTGCCTGGGATCGACATCGACACACACAAGAGCCGGAAGCGGGCTGCATGCCACACCACTGCCATATGTCATAATTCAACCACAAACCTGCTGCCTTAGCTGCTCCACTTGACCACTCTCAGCTCTGGGGCAGAGCGGATGCCGCTGCAATATGCATTTATCCGCCCAGTAAAAGTGTGAGTGCAAGGCAGACATGAGCGAACGCGGAGGAGGAGGCGTAGGCACCGTAACCGGTGGACGTCATGCCCGGGTCAGTCCCACGCCCGGACGTGGCAGCAAGATTGCGTACACGCCATGTCCGCGCTCCGAGCCGCCACAGGATCTGGCACTGTCGGTGCCGGCCCCATCGCGCAATTGCCTGGCCATACCCATGTCATCGCTGCAGACGGCCAATGGACCGAGCAACAAAGGTAAGTCGTGGTAGGGGTGAGGGTCAGGCTCAGGGTCATGATATGACAATCAAATAAAGAAGACAAGATATCAAATCTGTTAAATGTGTCTTATCTGACACTAATAGGGCCAATGAGCATATTAGACACGGTTTTGGCATGCAAGTGAAATGCGTTGTTCTTTTTATGTTTTGATTTGTTCTCGGTCTTGGTGTAGGCATCCCAAGCGCGCCATTTGCTTCCGACATTCAAAACGAAATAGACAGCAAAAATATATTTGTACCTTGGCTTCTGTGGGCCTGATACCTTTCGTTCCCATCCGTTCACTTTCTCTCCCATACTTTTCTCCTCCTTTATTTGATTTTTCCCCTTCGAACAAATCTACATGCAACTCTTTGCAGCTGGCGATGGGTGGCACGTGACTTTGATTGCCATTTCATTGTCTTCGGCAATCATCAAAACGCAAACAAAACTTTGTTATTCTTTCCACAGACAGTCAAAAAGCGTAGAGCATTTGAGAGGGAAAAAGTCGCACAGGCGATGCAGTCTGTCGTTTCAAAATCGATTGGCAATTTGTCAGCGTGATTGCAAGCGAAAGTCCCAAAAAACCGCCAGAGTTTCTAACAAAGATCACAGAACTATATTTGATTGCCACCAAAATAGATTTCATTGAAATTATTGCTACGAGTTTTGTCTTAGTAAGATTTATAAGGTAATAGGAAAGGAAATATATACATATCAATATAATCTATGAGTCCGTCACACCTTGCAGAAACATAATTCATTATTGAAAGCTCTCGGCATAGACAAGATGACATGGCCACTTCTATTGTTACTATCCAAATTAGTTTAAGAGTTTATTTATTACCTTATTTATATACAAATTGTATCGCTGATAATCAGCATGTAATATTAATCAGTTTCTCGAATCTATCCTAACACTGTTTCCCTTCGATAACCATATAAATTAAAACATAATTAAGAGCAATGACTACGACAGAAACAGGCAACTATTTACAGGCTGGAACAGGTTTGTAATTGTGACAGAGCGCCAGACCGTGAGAGACTCATTAATCTTCTCTAGTTAATTAATATTTTGCCCATGCTGACAGAAAAAGTCAATAAATGGGGCTACGAAAACGTTCGCTCAGCGTGCAACGCGGCGAATGATTTATGCAGCGTTTCAGAAGCTGTTGCATATGCATGAGCAACATTTTTGCAGCAATTGCACCGACACCACCGCAACAATGGGATATTCCATAGAAAAGACCCAAACAAACAGTAAATTGAAAAGCCAACTAGAAGGAAAGCCAAAGGCATTCATCCCACTCAAGAAGCAACAGCAGCGAAACTTAGATGCTCTTCGGGGGTAAAGAGACCTTTTGGCTATGGAAAGGGTATCCTAGCAGCAGCAACAATCGTTGAGTGGGTGTTTGTTTTTTGGATGTCTGCCAAACATGGGCCGAACAGGAAGAACGGATGGACAGACTCAGCCCGGACAATGGCAACATTGATAACTAGCTGGCGACACGGCATCCCACTTCATTTATCAAAATTTATGACTTTGCCAACGGCCGCACAGCAATTGCATCCGCAACATAGATGCAGATTGCAACTGCCACGGCCACTGCCACTGCAGGTGCTTGTTTTTTTGGCAACTTACAGAACTTTTGGCTCCATCAATTGATACTTTTTTTTTTAAGTATTTTTCTCGCCTCATCCTTGGACTATGACTGTGGAGGTCAGACCATGCGATTACCAGTGACAGGCAAAGGGCAAGCCTGCAGTAAGGTCAACCTCATTATAAAACTGACTCACCCAACAAGCTCAAAGATGTTTTGGTTATAGTTGCAGCAGGTCAGTCGGAACAGACCTCCGCTTGGCTCAGCTCTAGAAAAATCTATTCCTATTCTGGCAGCCAAGTGGTATCGTAGCGTATTTAAAGAACATCTCAGACTATGTTAGGGAAAAGTGCACTCGTATGCAATTGAGGTTTGAGGTTTTATCACAGATTTTTCGCATCGCTTGCTAGACACTCGTTAAATGCATTCCCATCAAAACTTTGTTTGTAAATTAAGCCATAAAAAAGTCTTTTCTCGCTTTCCTGGGGGCTTCTCCTTCGATTTCATCCGCAACATAGATGCAGATTGCAACTGCCACGGCCACTGCCACTGCAGGTGCTTGTTTTTTTGGCAACTTACAGAACTTTTGGCTCCATCAATTGATACTTTTTTTTTTAAGTATTTTTCTCGCCTCATCCTTGGACTATGACTGTGGAGGTCAGACCATGCGATTACCAGTGACAGGCAAAGGGCAAGCCTGCAGTAAGGTCAACCTCATTATAAAACTGACTCACCCAACAAGCTCAAAGATGTTTTGGTTATACAACGTCGTCCAGTCAGCCTTGTCTGGAGGCGAACCGAGTCGAGATCTTTTTAGATAAGGATAAGACCGTCGGTTCACCATAGCATCGCATAAATTTCTTGTAGAGTCTGATACAATCCCTTTTCACGTGAGCATACGTTAACTCCAAACTCCAAAATAGTGTCTAAAAAGCGTAGCGAACGATCTGTGAGCAATTTACAATTCCCATCAAAACTTTGTTTGTAAATTAAGCCATAAAAAAGTCTTTTCTCGCTTTCCTGGGGGCTTCTCCTTCGATTTCATGCTCTATTTAGTGCCCAAGTATCCCGACATGCTCTGGTCTGTTCCCTCCTTCTTAGCTTCGCCCTTCCGTCATATTTAATCCACTTGGCAGCCTTTCCTCTTCACGCTCAGATTTATTTATGCAGAAAGCAAAAATGCCATAAAGAAATATGCTGGCTATTTACATACTTTATGTTGTTTATGTCCCTATACATATATGTAAATATATGTATGTGTATGTGTGAGGGCTCAAATAATTCAAGGAAAATCTAACAATAAAAATCTTTAATGCATATGCCTGGCTAAGAACTCCATAAAACCCTTTTTTGAGCCACAAAATGTCTTCATTTACGATGGTGAAGGTGCAGCCTTCTCTGCCTGCCCACACAGTCACGTGGAATTTATGGTCTGGCCGCGCTTTCAGTCGCGGTAGTCCCACATTCCTGACCTTCCTCACAATCTCCTCTTGCCAACAAACGAATGATGAAGAAATCCGCAAATAAAATGAATGCCAAAGCCCATTTCCGACTTACTTACCACCCAAAAACGACCCCTTCTCATCATCTGAGAATGCATTCAATGGAGAGTCACGTATAGGATATGAAACAAGGACTTTGGAACGTAAAAAATGTTGAAAACGGAATGCTCCTTTGAAAAGGTTCCCTTCTCTACAGATCCTCAAGTATTTATCATCTCCACCATTTGCTTACCGCGAACAAGTCATACAGGATTCAATAGGAACGTGCTAGCTGACAAAAGTTTGAAGTTTCTCAAGATAGATAGTTGTGTACTGAGGAGTCAAAGATCAGAAAGGTATTTTGATTTTGTTTTAATTATAATTATCTCTTAGAATCCTCTTTAAAAAGTGTCTACGTAGCTGTCTTTCCGAGAAAAGAAGCTCGAACAGCTCCCAGTGAAACCGAAAAATTAGCTCAAATCGCGCTTGCAAGTTTTGCTAAAGACAATTGGTTGCAAAAGTTTTACGCTTCCTAATCCAAGCAAGTTTTCCCCTCTGCGCTGCCTCTCATTTGGTTAATATTGTATGATTTTATGCCATTTTCTTATGGAAATGTGGTTCGGCATGCAAAAGCAATAAGGAAAATGCTGCACGGCAACGCCAAGCCGAAGAAGAAGAAAATTGGGTTTTATTTTGTCCAGACATACTCAAAAAAACGGTACATATATACACAGATACGCTCTAAATGCCACTTATAGAGATGAATGCGAAGCGCTGACACCGGCCAGGAGGAGTAGCTCTTAACAGCTCTATAGTCTCGCTTTCCCTCTGCCGCTAGGGCGCTCCCTGTGTCCGACATGCTCTCGCAATTTGTTTGCGGCGCTGGCGATAATCTGTTGTGATGAGCAGCGGCCAATACCAAGGACAACCAAGACAAGTTAATGTCGGAGTCAGGGGCTGAATCTTCGTCTTTGTGGATAATTGATTTGCTGCAATCGCTCGGAATGATTAATGCTTTATGATAAATCTCACAAAAAACACTTTACGAGCTCAAACGCCCACAAATTTAAATTGCTATGTGGGGGACATTTTTATAGATACTTTAAGCCTCACAAATTCCCCCCATTTGCTAGAAATTTTCTAGTAAGAAAATATTTAATATATTATTTGAGTATTTTAAGAATGTTAGAGTGTGTAAATAGTTTAAGGAAATCATTTATTCTTACGAATTTATTGTTTAGAATTGTAGATAATGATTGATTTAGTTTGAATTCTTTAAATTGGACCCCCATACATTTTTATGCAAATAAATTTCTCAATTTTACGACTTCCATTGTTGTGGATTTTTGTGAATTATTGCTTGCCAGTCAGATGTGTTTGCAGCAGAGAGTCATAAATATCGGGGTCTGCCTTTGTCTGAGTGTTGATTTCAGCGCTTATTATGAATAATGACAGCAGAAATTAGTTTGGGATTTTGTGTGGTTGCTCAACGGATAAAAAGGAAGGAAAATGTGAAAAGAAGTTCACATTTGATTGACATGTAACTTGGTCTTTGTTATCAGCAGTTGAGCTAAATTTATGGCTGCCTGCTCGAGGCCCAGCCATGAATCAGAACACCTTTGCAAGGTATTCCTTTTCGTCAGTTTGCTGGCACCTGTTGAGAGCTGCACCACGTACAATGTATCGCAACGCCGTCCAGAAGTTCTGGGACATGGGCCAGTTCAATCCGGGCTTCGAGCTCGACTCTGAGGCGGTCCTCAAGTGCGAGCGGACCCAAACGAAACGCAACAAACTGGCGACCCTGATGAGCTGGCTCAGGCAATTCAACGAGCCCCCACCCGAGCCCATCAAATGCGACTACATGAGTGAGTCTACATTTATAGAGTATGTACATACTCGTATATTTCTGTGTGTAAGG